TGCTGATCTAAAGAACCTTATGATTTATTGGTAGATTTATCCTGGGAGCAAACTCCACCACACCCCACTGCAATGGGAGACACTCCCAGGGCCACTCTGGCAACCATTTTCTTAAGCCAGAAAATTCTCGGCTTCGAAAAGATGTTTGGTATATCTTCAAGTTGTACTACAGCTACAGTTTAAAATAATTAAAAATTCATTGGAGGCTATGCACTAATTCAGGTAAGGCTGCAGTTCCACTATATACATATTCCTCTGACTAGGCCTCCTTGAACTAGATAAAACTGATTAAACATGGAATCAGGCTGTATGTTTAAGCAGAGTGCTTATTTTAGTATCTTTGGGCAAATCACATGAGATGTTATAATTTATTTAGTACTACATGTAGACATATTATTTTCAGAATATGGCCTAATTGCTCACAAGCAACTTTATGTGGTTTGTTCCCCCCCCAGCCATCCCCAGATAAGGAAATACAGAGAATACATGACAGTGAAGCTCTTTGTGCATTGCTTTTTAGCAGACTATAAACTCCAGTATCCAAAAAAGTCAATAAAATTCAGTGAATATGATTCTCTGTGTAAATTACTTGCTGAGCTGTGTGACTCTTCCTCCATACTGTTTTATTCACAAACCAAAGGTTTTAGAAAACATCCTTTTAAAAGAATCAACAGAGGTGGTTTATAGTAACTATGGTATTCAATGGTTCATTAGCCTTCACACCTTTTCAGCATTAAACTAGAGTCCTAATTCTAAAATATCTTTGCTGTGGCTCTTTCTTACTTCCATATGCTTTAGCGGGGATGATATTCAGATCCATTAGCAACTTCACGACATTATCATCCTATCTTTGTAGCATCAGTAAATGTGAATTAACGTTACTTTCACCTTACTGATGTATGCTGTAGTACCTGTGCAGTTATTTTTCTACCTAGACAGCTGAAAATGAGGTTGAGGGTAGGTGGCATTTGGTAGATCCCCAGGTCTTAAAAATCAACATGAATTCTTAAATACAATGTAAATTCTTCCAGTGCAATGCATTTTCTGGAAACAACGGGGGTGCTTTGATAGTGAGTTCCTGCAAGGCAGGGGGTTGGACTCAATGGCCCTTATTCTACGATTCTATGGAGCTTATTGCATTAATTTTAAAATCGGCTTACCTGATCTGGTTTAAAATTTAAAGCAAGGGGCACTCTGATATTATCAGAAGGATTTAGCCACTGAAATCGCCTCCTGGGTCCATCCCCACTCCCAGAGCCTCTCTGGCAGCCGTTTTCTTAAGCCAGAAAACTCCTGGCTTTGAAAAGAGCATTTCTGAGAATGGGAATGGACCCAGGTGGCAATTTCGGCAGCTAAATCCTTCTGATAATATCAGGATGCTGCCCGCTTTAAATTTTAATCCGGATCAGGTAAGCCGGTTTTAAAATTAATGCAATAAGCTTGTATGATTCTATGATTCTATGTGTAACAAAGTAGGAGCCAGCATGGTGTAGTGGCCTGAGCATTGGACTATAACTTTGGAGACCAAGGTTTGAATCCCAACTCAGCAATGGAAACCCACTGGGTGACCATGAGCAGGTCACACACTCTCAGCCTCAGAGAATGGCAATAGCAAACCCCCTGTGAAGAAACTTGGTAAGAAAACTCCATGATAGGGTCACGATAAGTCAGAAATGACTTGAAAAAGCACATGAATGAGTGCAACAATCAGAAGCAGGATCTCTCTTGCAGTTCCTCATGGCAGCCTCCTTGCTGGCAGGAGGGGCCTGGAAATGTGATCTTCTTTTTGTCCTGATCACCCACTGAACACCCTTCTTCACCTGAGCCAGCCACTTGTTTTTAAAGTGGACTAGAAGGGGCACTTACGTATTACCGTAAGACTACATAGGGCTAGTCTGCATGATCATTCCAGTCAAACAGAATCTGATCTGGCCACACACAGTCTACAGTTTGGGCTTTGTGCGCCCCCCTGAAAAACTCCATAGAAAAATGCTTTGCGGTATTTACCAAATATCCACAGAAATCTGCAAATAATGCACATTATCGCACCTGTGACTGTCCCTTTGTTTTGCATGAATTTGAATGGCTGCACATTTTCGGCAGGAGGAGGGTGAATAGATGCAAATTTGCACAGGAAAGCGAAGATAATTAACAGTAGATGCAAATGTTTGAATATGCACAGCAATTTGCATAATACACTTATAATGTAGACCAGCCCATAGTCTTATTGAATACAGAGTAGTTACAGATCTGTAATTTTATGTTGTGAATCTGTAACTGCAAAACTGAATGCCAGCCAATATTTCTTCATTATAACCACAGGGCATTGAAGGAAAGTACAGTCAGCCCTCCGTATCAGTGTAGGTTCTGTTCTGGACCCCAGCCTCATGCAGATAGTAAAAAGCATGGGACCTCAAGTTTCATTATTATCATTGGACATATGACATGAAGCACCACCATTGACAATAATGGGATGGTACCATCCACAGATGCTCCAATCCATAGATGGCTAGTCCACCAATACGGAGGGCCGAATTTACCTATAATTTAAATATAATTAGCTTCTCAGGGCTGATTTAGAGGTTGCTGCTATCAAAGACCTTTCTCTAAGAAATTTTTGTTTAACACTACAATCCTTATGCACACTTATGTGGGAGTAAGTCCCACTGAAAACAGCGGGTTTCAGCATCCAATAATATACTCATAGGAGTGCTCTATAAATGTTTCTTCTATATGTGTAGTTGTAAATGTGTTGCTAGGATCATATGAATTCTTTGTTTAAACAGTCCTATGAACAATACACATTTAAATGTTCATCTATTCTATATTATATGTATGGCTCATGCTGAAAAAGCATTGTGGTAACTACCATGGTCTGTTTTCGAAGCAAAACATTGATTATTATTTTTTTAGCGAAATACTTTGGATCATATTCCTACAAGGCTTTTTGTTGTTCCCAGTGAAATGAAATTTATCATCTGTCCTTGACAGTAAAAATGATGACTGAGCAGAAGGCTTAATGAAATATGGAACACTGTAGCCACTTTTCAAAGAGACTTTTCAAAGGTTTCTTCAAAACTTGCATCAAACAATAAATATGATATTTATCAGAAGTAATAACTAATGACAAAATTCAACTCCCATTAGAGTGAGTGTCAGATGTCTCTTTGTCTTTAATAAGATGTTAAGGGAAACAGGTGAATGCTTGAAATAACAATACATAGATAATATATTTTACATCTCTCAACATTATTTTTGAAACCTTACAATTTATACGAGGAACTCCAGTATCTTCAATAAAAGTTTCTTTAAAACTCATAAATATTGCCACAAAATGCCATCTTTCTCCATTAGTCTCCCTGAATATGCCATTTTAAAACTACTCTGCTTTAATATATTAAACCAGGGGTAGGCAACCTTTTCCCTTTAAGGGTCGAGGGACTTCAGCTCCCAGAAGCCTCAGCCATGTTGGCCAATAATTCCATGTTGGCCAATAGCTCCTGGGATTCTGGGAGTTGAAGTCCCTCGGCCCTTAAAGGGGAAAGGTTGCCTACCCCATATTAAATGGACTGAAATAAATTCAAAGCAGACAAATTATAGTAAATAAAGTGTCAAGACAATACTTGTATGACAAGTGCTCAAAGGGTCATGTTGTCTTTCTAGCCATTGTGGAAGGAGAGCCACATAAGAAGACTAGGAGATTTCACCCAGAGGGGAGAAACCATCCATTACAGGTATGCTTCCTCTGCTTTGGTCCTAAATCAGGGGTAGGCAACCTTTCTCCTTTAAGGGCTGAGGGACTTCAGCTCCCAGAATCCCAGGAGCTATTGGCCAACATGGGACTATAGGCCAACATGGCTGAGGCTTCCCTCGTCCCTTAAAGGGGAAAGGTTGCCTACCCCTGTCCTAAATTCAGGGGCCTACCATGGGTGTGGAAAAGATATCTGTGATCCCATAGCAATGAAGAAAAAAAGAATACACTGTAGATCAGGGGTTGGCAACCTACGACCAGCCCGCCCCCCCTGCTTACCAGCCCCCGCTTACCAGCCCCTGCCGCCACCGCCACCACCTACCACCGCCGCGGCGAGTTTGGGCTGCCGCGCGGCCACGCACATCACATCTGCCATTTTGTTTTTCAAAATGGCGGCTGTGACGTGTTTGCACATGAGTACTGTGCATGCACAAACAAGTCGTGGCCGCCATTTTGGAAAACAAAATGGCAGGCATGACATGTGTGGCGGCGGTGGCAGCGTACGCGGTGGGGGTCGCACACATGCGCGCCGCCATTCTCCCCCCCGGCCTGCTGGAAGAGAGGATTTCAGCGGACTGGCCCCCAGCTGAAAAAGGTTGCCTACTCCTGCTGTAGATTGTGGTTGAAGATATTAATGAAAATTTATTTCCCTGATTTGATGCGTTGTTGTCCAGATCTTGTGAGCTTTGCTGACATCAGCACTTGTAGGCTGCTTTATATCTGCTTAAAAAGAGAATTCGCATATGTTGAGCAATGCTGTAAAAAATCTGTTTCTTGATTGTCGGGCCTTAAATTCAGGTTTTTTCCCCAAACACTTGAAAATTTCCCCAATCTTAAACCTTACTCATCTTGAAGTCAGAGAATTTTTAAAATTTACACAAATATTTATACACATTTTTGTGCTCATTATTTCTATCACATACATTTCTGTACACAGTTTTGCTGAACATATTTGGCAAGGTTCTCTAATACAGTGCATTTTAAGGTTATTTTCATTAATTATGCATTTTTGTTTGCTGTTTCCTCTACTATACACTTTTTTTTGTATGCCATGAGAGAACTCCTCTGCAAAATACACAAATTTAACAGTTTTGGGCAAAGCTGTTGTGTGTTTTCCAGTCGTTCCTGAATTATGGTGACCCTAAGGCAATCTCATCACAGGATTTTTTTTGGCAGGATTTGTTCAGTGGAGGTTAGCCTTTGCCTTCCCCCGGAGCTGGAAGAGTGTGACTTGCTCAAGGTCATCCAGTGGCAGAGCAGGGATTTGAACCCTGATCTTCAGAATCATAGTCCAGTGCTCAAACCACTACACCACACTAGCTCTTGATATATTGATTTGAAACTACAAAAATGAATTAAAATGCAAACTGAATGAATTTATCTCTCATCCCTACATGATCTCCTACCTTTTTCTTCTCCAGTTGTGAGAGAATGAATGATTATGGGGGGATGCTGCTCTCATATCTGGCATGTGGATTTCCCACAGACACCCAGTTAGCACTTGGGAAACAAGATGGTATATTAGGCCTTTGTTCCAATCCACCAGGGCTCTTCTGTTCCTAAATGTTTACATTCTTATGTTTCCCTAATCATAGGTACAACTACTGTAAACTAATTTTATGTCCTTCAGACTATATGATATAGTTTGTTTGTTTTTTCATATAATCCTACTATTTTTTCTTGGTCCAAACTTCTCTCAAAGGTTAGTTGTCTATTTTTCTGTTCCTCACCCTTGCACTTGTCCACTAACTTGCCTTCTGGGGTGCCACAGGGCTCTGTCCTCGGCCCAGTGCTATTCAATATCTT